CGGCGTGGTTCAGATTCGAAGAAAAAACATCACCCATGTTAAAGTGGACCACCCTAACCCGCGCGGAGTTGTCAGATATTGGGGACCCAACATGCTCCGCCCGCCTTGAGATCCCGTTGATCTCAAAACCAGAGGCTGCCTAGGTGGAAGGATTAAACAACAGGTGTTGTTGCAGGGTAGAAAAACATTTTTATGAAAGATGTACAAGGAGATCAGATTGGACAACTAATGTGCAAAGGAGATCAGATTAGACTAACGTACAAAAGAGATCCGATTAGACAAAGAGATCAGGACAATAATACTTAGGTGTAGCCTTACAGACAAGAAGTTCACGAGCGGTGGTTCTCACGCCGCCGGTAAGAATGGCTTCTCCGGGCGGGAGAGCGGCTCCTTGACCTGGCAGACCTTCGGTTTTGTCCTCGGCTTTGGGGCCTAGCACGGCTGGTGGGAGGGCGGCTGCCTTGCCTGCGGGATGTTCTGTCACGGGGCCGGTGCTGCTCTGCTCGACGCCTTGACCGTAGCTCTCGAGACCTTTGACGTGCCTGCCAACCGGAATCCGAGGGTGTGGGCCACCAGAGGAAAGGGGTCTGTGTGGAGGCGTCCCTGACCAGTACCCTCTGGGCTGCCTGAGGTGGGGCCGGTCTGGCGTCATCTGGCTGGCTGGCTGACTGGCTGGTCATCGGGCTGGTTAGCTGGCTGGTTGGCTGGTTGGGCGACAGGAAAACTGTAGAGGCTGGGGAAACGTGGCTGGGGCTAATCGGCCTTGGGCGAGGTGGAGTGGGTGGCCGGGGTGATGCAACTGAGGGGGACAACAGCCGGTCTTCATCGCTGGACGTGATTACCCACCAGCTCTGCCTCTCCTGGGGTGGGGACGCCGTAGGTGACGCCATCCTGCTAGGGCCTGCTTGTGGGGACGGAGGTGCCCCTGCAGCCGCGGACGGGGTGGGCCTGACCAGCCTGATTGGCTTGATTGGAGGCCGGGACTCTGAGGCACTGGGGACCGGACGAATGGGCTGGCGGCTTTGGGCTGGCTTTGACCTGGCAGTGGCCTTGCCGCGACCAGTCACCAGTACCGGCTTCGTGGCCCTACAGACGGTGGCCGGGTTGGAGGCTGGAGGCGCCGGTCGCCTACTGGACTGCTGAAGCCGGGCGGCCGCTCGGGCCAGTCTCTGGGCTGAGTGCTCTAGCGTCTGCGGTCAAGGAGCTCGTCCCATGGGCCCCGGGAGTTGGGGAGAAGTGGGGGGGCTTCCACCTGGAAATCTGCGTCGGATTCGGAGTCACTGGACAGCATGATTGGCTTTGGCGATGAAAGGAAAAGGGCTTTCAAAGACAGGTGTTTTGGGTGATTTTAAGAAGGGCTACGGCTTGTATTTGAAACCCTACCCCTCT